TGATTTGGTTTTTAAGATAAAGTTCACATCACCTTTCAGTTACCAGACTTCAATAAATATCAATAATTACTTAAAACAAAAGGAATGAAGTTGAAGCCTGAGTAGTTAACACAGAAGACATTTTTGTGTGTCATAGAGCGAAAGTGAAGAATGGGGGTTAGGAAACTTTATTTTAACTGGTGTATGTTTATTTTAGTTAGTTAGTTAGTGAAATGGCGACAGTGTCTCAGTTGGAAAAGCATTAGCCTTTGGCCTGAGGGTCATGGGTTCGAATCCACCATTAGACCTACTTCAAGACTCTCACTGATGTCTGCTGTCATTGTGTCCTTGGATAAAATGTTTTACTCCACTTTGCCTGAAGCCCCCGCTGAAAGATCAAGGCAAATTAAGGGGTAAGAAAATGGATGGATGAGTGTGAAATGTATATTTGTTTTATCCATATACTTTGTTTTATTGTGACATCGACCTGATAGGATGTAGAATCTAAGTCCACTGCTTGTGCTCAATGCTGTGCGTTTCCATGGTGACGTTGGAGGTGGAGTGATACGGAATCTGTGATTTAACATGAGGTATAAACAGTTATTATTCTACGCTAGATTGCCTAGATATCCACACTGACCACAGTATAACCTGTTACAATGCAGTTATACATACATATATTTAACATACCATCCAGCTCCTGTGCAGGTTTGATATAAATACAATTCCATTCCATTCAAACTATTCCACAATAAATCCAAAAATACATATAATGCAAATGTGTCTTTATGAAGCTTTTAATCATGCTACACCAATGTGCCATGATCTAAAAACACACCAAGAGTTTTTTTAGGCTTCATCCACATTGAAACGAACAGACACCTCCCACCCCTTCTGTATAAAATCTCTGATTTTCAACTCACCTGAAGGCTGAGGTGAATTGAGTTTTCTCCAATCTAACTATGTTCTTTCAAATGTACTTACATTTTATGTTGTCATTGTGTCATTTCCTTCTGTTAATACTGAATTGTAGTGTTTCTCAATCCGACCCGCTGCAACTTCATTACACACGATTATTATGACTGTAAAATTCGTCTTAATCAAATTTTAGTGACAGCAATTAGTAAATGGTAAATAGCATTTTTAGCACGGCAAAGGCCGCAGTTCTTCAGTTGATGTTGTTTCCTTTGCAAATCTAACCTCATTGTAAAAATCCCAGTTCCTTTTGTTTTCAGAATTGTGCAGCTTATTTACTTGTGGAGGGTCTGTAGTTTTGCCTTTAAAACATTATTCTCTACTTTTTAGCTTGTTTGCAATGAGAGCCAAAGCAATTTCCTAGATTGTGACTTTTTTTGGCTCACAATAAAATAATTCTGATTCTGACTTTTTATATATTTTGAAACAGACTATCCATGCTAAAACTCTTGCTTCTCAGAAGGTACTGGGATCAATTCAATCTCCAGACAGGGCTTTCTGGGTAAAGTGTGGATGTTCTCCCTGTGTCTTTGCAGGCTTCCTCCGGGTGCTTTGCTTTCCACTACTATTAAAATCAGAACTCTCCTGAAAAAGCAATACCGATTTCTCCTGGTGAGATTTCCGGTTAAAAAAATGCTTACCTTTGTTTTGGCAATTTCTCAGATGAAAAGACATTATTTAAAATCACGTCACACTCGGAAAAACAAAACATCCAACCATTCCCGTTTTTTACTCTTCATTCTTGTTTCATACATATTTTCCTCCTGAAGATATCATTTCACATTCTATAACATTGTCTCATTATCATCTTTATGAGTCTCTTTAGACTTTCTTTAGAGTTTCACAGCCTGGCATTACACCTCCCATTGGAGACATGTGAGTGAGAACAGCAGACAATGTTACAGGTCATATCCACTCACTGTGTGTTTGGAGCAGTAAAAGCAGCTATGATTAAACATCTCCATGACGTAAGTGGCAGAAATGGCTCCTTCTGATGTATTACGGACCATTTTAAAACCCAAGTATTTCCATTTTTCCTCTGCTGCTGCACTGCTGACCACTCCTTTTAGAGCAGTCTCCATAAGGACCGCTTTGAGTCCAGCCTGAACCGGAGCTAACAATGTAACTGGGAGCGTTTTTGGAGCTCAGTACAAAGTTAATACTTGGTGTCATTAGCGCCCTGCTCCTGTCGGCTCTTCTCCACGTCCGTAAATGAGATTGCGTTGTTCTGCTGCCCACGCTGGTTTTGGTCGGTCCACTGGGGAGAGTTTTTACAGCGGCTCCAGATCCCCGGCCTCAGCAAAAGAGAAAACCACGGCGTGTGCTGCTGTTATTGCCGGAAAAAAACAATCTCTTTACATTTTTCGGTGTAATCAAAAAGCATGGACCAAAGTTGAGACGAGACTTCTGTGAATTCCAGGGTTTTACTCAAAGTTAAATAGCTTCATATTCACGCTTAATAAGATAAGATAAAGTTTATTCATATCACAATCTTGTTTTGACTTGAATCCACATATTAGTTTCACTCTGTTGGTAAGTTGAACTCCAAAAGTAAATGGACTTTGGAACTCTGAGTTTCACCTTTATTTCTCTTCCAGGAGTGTTGGGACTATTTGGAAAAATAAATCCCAATTCCAAATCAAATAAAAAATAAACGATCAAAGGGACCATAGTGAAAGACTTTATGCTCTTACCCCACCCGTCCTTTCTCACAAGTATCTACAGCTCTCTATTGTTTTTTTATATTTTATATATATTTGTTCAGTCATTTTGCAATCTCAAACAGATCATGTCATATTCCAAAAACGAAAAGGGAATGACTGAAAGGGTTTAGACTGAAGTGAAGCTCTTTTCAAAGCCTAATCCCGTCACTACAACTGCAAAACAGCAGCGTTCAGCTTTAAGAATGAAGTCATTTGCAACAAAATTAATTCAGAAATTGAGCAATAAAACATCAACATAGTTCTATCTATAATAATTTAAACAGGATTCTTTAAAATGTATGTTGTAATGTATTTGTAAATACTCTATAGACTGATAGGACAAAGGTTCATGGAGTGAATTTACGTTTAAATATTTGTTTGAAACCCTTATAAATTAATGTTTTTTTTTTTGTATATGGATACCACAGTTACATTGGACAGACCAGATACACTGCCTTTATTGTTACAGCAAGACCATGCTAATTTTCAACACTTGTCCATAGAAGGCTTTTAGGACACAATTGCACACATTTAAAATTTACAAATATAAAAGTAATTCAATATACAGTTAATTAACCATGTGAGCAACGTTGCTCCGATTTCAGCCACAGTTTCAGTTTCAGTCTGACGAAGATGTTAAAGTTTGTTCCACAGTTTTGCTCCATTGAAGGAAAAGTTAGACTGTCCCAAAGATGTTCTGGACTTAGGATCCATAGTCCCCACTGACCGAGGCTCTGGTGTAATTGTGCAATACAATTATATATATTTATATATTTTAAACGTAAACACAATTCGAAAAGGAGTAAGTACAAGTAAAATGTATGTTCCAGATGTAAAAAATGTGTTGTTTATCTATCCATCCATCCTTTTTCTTCCATTTCATCCGTTTGACGGGTCGCGGGGGCAGCGGTCCAAGCAGAGACGCCCAGACTTCCTTATCCTATTTTCTATGGATAGCGAAATGTATGTTTATTGATCTGGCTTTTTTATGCGTGTCCTCCAGACCATTCCATAGATCATCTCCTCTATCTGACACACTTAACATTAGTCCTGGCAATAACTTTTTGGTCGTTCCTCTTGGATAAAAGTGACTCTTTCTATCTCTCAATCTATCCATCTATCTCTCTCTATCTATCCATCTATCTCTATCTATATCCATCTATCTCTATCCATAATAACATGACCCACTTTAATTGCACATTATAATTATACATGAAAAAACCCTATTAAGTTGCATTATACTGGTTTACATGAAAAAAACCCTATTAAGTTGCATTATACTGGTTTACATGGAAAAATCCCTATTAAGTTGCATAATACTGGTTTACATGGAAAAATCCCCATTAAGTTGCATTATACTGGTTTACATGGAAAAATCCCTATTAAGTTGCATTATACTGGTTTACATGGAAAAATCCCTATTAAGTTGCATAATACTGGTTTACATGGAAAAATCCCCATTAAGTTGCATTATACTGGTTTACATGGAAAAATCCCCATTAAGTTGCATTATACTGGTTTACATGGAAAAATCCCTATTAAGTTGCATTGTACTGGTTTACATGGAAAAAACCCTATTAAGTTGCATTATACTGGTTTACATGGAAAAAACCCTATTAAGTTGCATTATACTGGTTTACATGTAAAAACCCCTATTAAGTTGCATTATACTGGTTTACATGGAAAAATCCCCATTAAGTTGCATTATACTGGTTTACATGAAAAAAAACCCTATTAAGTTGCATTATACTGGTTTACATGAAAAAACCCTATTAAGTTGCATTATACTGGTTTACATGGAAAAATCCCTATTAAGTTGCATTATACTGGTTTACATGGAAAAATCCCTATTAGGTTGCATGATTACACTGAAGTCCTTGAAACTGCTGAAGTCCTTGAAACTGCTGAAGTCCTTGAAACTGCTGAAGTCCTTGAAACTGTTGAAGTCCTTGAAACTCTTGAAATCTTGAAACTGCTGAAATCCTTGAAACTGTTGAATCCTTGAAACTGTTGAATCATTGAAACTGTAGAAATGTCTGAAAGAGCTGAAGTCCTATTAAAATGCATGGGCCTATTAAAATGCATTGCAGAATTCTCAATGCAGATTTTTGTCCGATTGCGGAAAAACCGGAAATCGCTGAAGTCCCAAAAGTAATAGCAATAATCTCCCAAACATGTGGAACGTTTTGATGTATAACTTGTGGAAATTGTTGAAAATGTGAAAGCTGTGAAACGTGTCAAAAAAAATGACGGAATAAAGAAATACAAAACCAATGGTTGACTGCGGAAGGTTCCGCAGTCAATCAATGACTGCATGGTGCTCATACCTGCTGTGACTTTGGCATGGGAGCCTTTGCGGAGCTCAGAGCTACAGCAGCGCTCCGCACGGCCCCTGTCTCAGCAGAAAGCAGCCCGCGTTATGAGCTCCGTGTGGAGGCTCGGAGCAGTCAGCGGGGGCCCCCAGCTGGGAGCTCCGACACGCACGCAATTACAGCCACCACACAGGGAGACACCGCGGGGACATGTGACCTCAATATCCAAGCACAACTACATCACAGAGCGCAGAGCCGGTGCGGGAGGGAGCCAGAGACCGGGCTAAGTGAGAGGCTAAACATGCATTCAGGGGAGGGATCCTCTGTTTGATTCAGTAATGAAGAGACATCACACACTTCCGCTGCTGTGTACAGTGGGGAGGATCTATGACAAAAATGGCATATTGTGATATTAAAGATGCAGTCAGTGATATTTTCCAGACGCATTTTTTAAGTATTGTGGGAAAACGTCCCTAAAACCCTGAAAGTAGTCAAGTTGTCATGTTTTTTCAAATAGTAAAAGAATTGACAAACTGATAAAAATTGACAAAATTGATAAACCAATGGGATTCGTTCATCCCCAACGAACCAATGGGATGCATTTACAGTACCCCCTTCACCCTCTTCCTGTTTCTCGCGAGTGCGTGCACCAGCGTTATCGGATTTTCTAAAACCTAAAAGGGCTGAACAGAAAATGCCAATTTCACTTTTGGAGAGGTGAGGGAATGGGGGGGGGAGTGGTTTCGACTTGGTCCTACGGCTAGCTAGGCAAGGGAAATTTGTTTGTATTTCACAATTCAGAGACGGGGAAACTCAAAGTGCTGTACAGCAAACAAGTTAGAGACAGTTGTGTGCACAGCTAACCTGGATTTGAACATTGTCAGAAAAGAAGCCTGTCTCACATTTTCAGGAAGACTGTTCCAGTACTGTTCCAATTTGAAATGCAGACTCCCCATTTAGCTCTGACTCCGGGCACCAGTAGGAAACCAGTCCCTGTGCTCCTCCGATTTGGTTCATATTGGCACTATTGTTAGTTGGAATCTCAATATCAATCTAAAATTATAATCTAAAATAAACTAGTGTTGCTCTTCCCCTTATGCAACGTCAGCAGAAACATGGTCACATTAAAAGGCACAAAGATTAAGTTGATGATCAGTGGATAAGATATCTGCTTCTCCGTCTCAAACTTCTCAAAACAATCATTTATTTTGTATCGCCGCATGCATATGAAAGCTTGATCCCCTCAGATCTCTCAACACACATTCACCCACATTGCGTCTGTGTGTGGGTGTGTATGTGTGTGTGTGTGTCTGTGCGTAAAGTGCTTGTGTGTTCCGTAGCAGATATCAGTGTGCCAATAGCAGATATTGCCAGCCTTGCCTCCATCAGTCTGCCCCAGTGCAGCTGTAACTACCACAGTAGTTGTCGCAGTGCACAGAGTGGATGCATCCTGTGAGAGCGCTGTATAACTGCTATAATGCATGTTTTTGTTTTACTGTATAATTAATTAACTGTATAAGAACTTTGGAGTTGTTTGCGATCCAAAAACTCAATCAAAATGTTTATTTGAAAACCTCCACAAACATAATATCAATATTTTTTATTTTATTTATATTTATTACATTTACGTTGTGTTCCCCTGTCAGTTTACAAAGCCAAACAAACAAACATACAAAACCCACATAGTTGTTTTTCTTTGGTTATTGATTGTTCTTAGTAAGTTTGAATACAAAAAGTAAAAAAAAAGAAACGCTTTCTAAAGAATCCAAAGTTATATGAGTGGCCAATCAATAGACCAGCCTCTGATTTAAATACCATGGATTTTCAGAGCAGACAGAATCACAATAAGTCTTATTCTCCCAATTTCTCTTCACCACATTGTGCTTTATTCATCGCTACAGTTGGCACAATGATAAATTTGGGGAGAGCGTGACATTGGCCCTGGAGTTAAACTATGCTAATGAAGTTGGAAGGTGTCACACTTTTTAATATCATCAGCCAGAGCCAAAACCGCACTTCCACGTTTTAATTAACACCACGGCTGCGCCTCAGAACCCCGCAAAAATCACTGAATATGATGCAGTGAGAGAAAAAAAAGACTTATTATCTTCCCTGCACAACGTTATTTACCTCTTTCTATTCACTCTAACTCCACAGCCCCAAACCAACTTCCCCGTCTGGAAGTATGAGATTCAGATAATGCGTTTCCAAACAATGCCGCTTTTTAGTTCTTGGAAAACAAACACAAATATTGGGTTATTCATCTTCATTACATGCACTTAAAGCATAATTTATTAATCAGTTGGTTGAATTACGAGCTTAAAGACTTAAAGACCAAGGCTTATTGCATTTATTTAACATGCTACAAGGGCTGGATGCAACATTGTGCGAGAATTACCATCCCATAATTGGCGAGTATATTGAGTGATTTGTATTCTTTATTATGCCATTGCTCGTACTATACCTGGCAGGCCTTCCTGTGTGGGGTTTGCACGTTCTCCCCATGTCTGCACAGGTTTAAACATGGTACTTTAGGTACGTGCCTACTGTGTGGTGATTCGCTCCCATCTCTGTGTAAAGTGAGAGACAAATGCCCAAAACAAGTGTAAAGCGCTATGTTACGCTGACCTATGCGCTATATAAATAAAGATGACTTACTCCTTTTTTGCATCACACTCCTCTACCCTCTCCCCCCTCCCCTCCTGTATGGTTAGTTCTGTAGCTTGTTTGTGACAGTGGGCGTTGCTGGCTCATCTGCTGCTGAGAGGCAATCACACCTTCATCATATTCACTTGTCCCCTTGTCCTTAAAACACTGGCTCAAGCGTGACACAGTATATTGGGTTACAGTATATTGTTAGGATTATTGGCATAGCTACATCCTAGGGAAAAGTTGATACGGTAGGTAGCGGTAATGTACCTTATTTGCGATTGCCAACTGCCATAAAAGAAGAATAAGAGAGGTTTTTGACAAGCTTTTTCCTTTTTGTATCATGGCGTATCGTTTTTTTGTCCTTTGTTGAGGCCCAAACGTCCAGCCTGCCAGCTAAACATCTTTTTAGACCTTTCTCTGTAGATCAATAAGAGTATACCAGACGCTCTAATTCAGTTACAAAACATATTTATTAAAGGTGAAAATAATGCCGGTGGATCGCTCTCACTGTAGGTCTCAGTGTCTGAGTTTATACCGGTCTATGCTGGAGGTTCTGAACATTTTTTTTTTTTTTTTTTATTTATGTATTGATTTATTAAAGGGACAGTGCATATTAATATACATGTAAATATTCCAAAATTAGCCTGAGGGCTTTTTTCCATTTTTAGTCCCTGGACAGTTATGTGTCCTCCTGAAGGGAATAAAATTACACATAACACAATCAGGTAACATTGGTTTAATTGCTGGATTGATGACCCTGAGGTGTTTTGTTGTATTTATCTCTCTTCACTGTAATAAATGAATCAGACCAGACTTAGATGTAAATTATTTTAAGTAATTACTATATACTTCCTTTTCCACTCTTTTATATTTTTGGTTGACAAATAAGTACTGTATAATATTATCATACTGTAGCACCCTGTACAATACTGATTTTATTGCTTTAAGTGAAAATACTTTAAATATTTCTTCAATAAGCCTGGGGGTCCATTAATGACAACACAAATATATTGTGTTGATTGAAAACAAAATTTGGCTACCCAGAATGCATTGCAGAGAAAAATATAAACTTCTTAAAAATTCTCCATTTGAGCATTAATTTTGAGAGGGAATATAAAGCAAGTCCTAAAGCCAAATACTTGAGCAACATTTTGAATACACTAATTTGACCAAATAAGTCATTGTATTTATTGTTACCAACCATGATCGAGAGGGCCAAGCCACAGCAGCCCTACATAGTTCCTGGATTATCCTACAATGTTGATCTGACACTATATAGTGGTAACTATGTTTGCTAGCAACCAAGCTATGATCAAACTATGAGTGTCATTACTCTTCCCCAAGAGAGTTTCAGAGTACAGGACCTTACTATATAGTGATAAAAAGATCTGACAAGTTTCCTCCAGGTGAAAGATAATATTTTTGTGTCCATTCAAAGTAACTTTAAGTAAATTGATCACTTCAAAGTAATAGTTTTGCATTCTGTCGAATTGAATTTAATATTCTTTATTACTTAATAAAGAGCTGAAGTTGATAGTACTCAAAGAGGCCGATGGAACCTATTACGGTATATGTACGGTATACATATATGTTCTCAAATAGTTTGGTTTTATGATCTGCTTTTGGCAAATCAACAATTCTGTGACGCCCCTCAAGACCAATACTTTTGAAATGTCTGGGCTGTAAAAAACATGATTTGTTTTAAATTCACTGCAATTATAGGCAAAGTGTTTTAACCCTTTAAAGGAGAATCTATCAATTCTCTTCAACTCACAACAGCAGTTATCTCGGTGGACTTCGCAAAACTTTCAATTAGCCAACACAGATTAGAGAAACAAACCGTTCAAGCACAATAAATATAATAATGAAAGCACATAGAGCCTTTGGTCCATAAGGGGCAGATGACCAATGTCTATAAACGTTGAATGTGGAGTGTCCTGGATCATCACCGTTGTCCTTAGACCCTCCTGCTTCGGGAAAAACTCTCATAAGACAATTTCTCCCACTGGTTTTTTTTTTTATCTTCCACTGAGGGACGTATGAAAGGTTCTCTTTTCTTATTAATGGATGATCCTGGGAGCAATGTCAACAGGTGACACGTGCATTTTGAATACTGACATAGATGAGTGTGGTGTGGAGGGTTTCATGAGAGGCAAGGGTAGAGAGGAACGCCAAATGAATGAATGCCACGCGACAAATATTCCACCATCTGTATATCTACAACATGTATCATTTCTGGAGTATGATTGCCAAAAACACTGGTCTGGTATGGTTGTAAATATGGGCACTTGTTTCCATAGAGCTTGCCAACGTTTATGATCAAAAGCAACACAATATCCCAATTAAAGGGAACCATATATGTCTGAGATTGGTGATTTCTGTCAAACTTCCCTGTATTCACCTGGGGATTGCAAGAGAACAAGTCTTGCTAGAAACCAACATATTTTTGCTGATGAAAGCAGACAGTCCAATCTTTCAGAATCTGGTTTCATATTTCACATAGTCATAGCAAGCATTATTCTGTGGGTCTTGAAAGTCAGACGGCTGGCAGTCAACGAGTTAATGAAGCATGTTGTGACCAGGAAACTGCTGTAATAAATGTCATATCTTGGGTGAAAGCTCAAATGTGAATGTACCTTTTAAAATGTATTTCAACTTCAGGGGGTGACAGTGGCTCAG